CATAGTGGTCAAGGCACAGGACAGGGCCACCTGAAGTTCAATTCCTGGACCTTGAAAATCACACCAGGCATGTGTGTGTGCATGCCCAAAATTCCAGGAGGAGAGTAGAGGAGAAGGGATTGCAGCATAACATCTCCCCTGGGAGGTGATTTCTCACTTTCCCTCTTGCTGTCTCTCTCTGTCTCTTGGTAAGGACACATGCCCTAAGAAAAAAAATCTAAAAAGCAAAAATCAAAAGAAAACAGAATAATAAATTATTTAAGCATTATTATTCCTTATCAATAAAATACTAACAATACATACCCTCCTTCCATCAAAGGGCTAAAGGTAGAATCCCATGTAAGAACATCTTTGAGAATGCTTTATAGAATGTACAGCATGATAAAAACAGCTTACAGAAATGGCAGAGGGTAAGAGGGAGAAAATCAAGGGGGAAAAATAAAGATGTAAAACAGGAAAGAAACACAAAATGGAAAATTATCTGTTGAAGGTAATATGTATGGTAATATCTTGGATTGAGCAAATATACAGTGTATTTTGGATGGGAAAATTCATACTGTGTGCTGTAATGATACACACTAAATGAATGTAAAATAAATAAATAAATAAATTTTTAAAAGCACCTTACAGGATTCATGACTTTTTCATGACAGTTTTTTTAAGTGGAATACATGATTTTTGTTTTACATAATATTATACATTAGTTTAGAGTATTTCCATAGTTTACATTATTATAGAAGAAATAAAATGTCCCTAATAACATCATGGTTAGCTATGAATGTGTCCCTTTATTCTCTTTTTTAAAGCTTTACTGACGTATAATTGATATGCAAGTAACTGCTTATGTTTAATGTACACAATCTGGTGAGTTTGGACATCGGTATATACCATTATACCATTGCCATGATCAAAGCAATCAAGGTAATAAACACATTCATCACCTCCACAAGTTTCCATGTGTTCCTTTACTTTTATATTTTTGGTGGTGAGAACACTTAATGTAAGTTTACCCTCCTGAAAAATGTTTAAGCCCATAATATTGCATTGTTAACTACAGACACTATGTCATATAAAATGTCTAGGACTTATTTACTTATTTTAAGAATTATTTTGGGAACCAGCAGTTAGCATAATGGCTATGTCGCTGGACTCCCACGTAGTCGACTGCAGTTCGCATCCTAGACCCGCTGGCTTAAATCTCACACCGGGCGCGTGTGCGTGCGTGCCCAAGATCTCGAGAGGAGAATGGAGGAGAAGGGATTGCGGTGTGACCATCCTCCCCTGGGGGGTGATTTCTCGCTTTCTGTCTCTATGTCTCTCTCTTTCTGTCTGGCAAGTGCACGCACCCTATAGCGAAAATCTCTCCAAAAAAAAAAAAAAGTGAAAAAAAAAAGAATTATTTTATGTAGCTTTATTTATTTATTTTAATTTAATCAGAGAGGGACAGAGGGGGAGAGAGAGAGAGAGAGAGAGAGAAAATGAGAAAGCAAACCACCAGGTCTGGGACTCGAATCATGGTTGGCCATGTGGGAAAAAGGCAATGTGGGAGCCCAGCACCTTTACCCACCACACCTGCCAGCCCCGGACTTATTTATTATGTGTACCCATTGAGCAATTCCCCATTTCCCTCTCCTCCCCACTCACTGGCAACTACCATTCTGGTTTTTTTTGTTTGTTTTTTTTTTTAGAGAGGTTTTTGCTATAGGGCGTGTGCTCTCGCCAGACAGACAGAGAGAGACATAGAGACAGAAAGCGAGAAATCACCCCCCAAAGGGGATGGTCACGCCGCAATCCCTTCTCCTCCATTCTCCTCTCGGGATCTTGGGCACGCACGCACACGCGCCCGGTGTGAGTTCTAAGCCACCGGGTCCGGGACGCGAACCGCGGTCGACTACACGGGAGTCCAACGACATAGCCAATACGCTAACTGCTGGTTCCCGATTCTGTTTTATTTTTCTTCTTATATGATGGGGTCTTCAAAAGTTTATGGAAAATGCATATTATAAAAAAACTTGCTTGCAAAAAGTTTTGCAACAAAATAAACTCATATTTTAATTCCATATTCCCATATTTCTAAAATACCATCATACATAATTATTAAATATATAATTTAAAATGCTGCTACAGGGGGACAAGTGGGTGGCATAGTGGTTACAGTGCTGGACTTCCATGTGGCCAACTGCGGTTCAAGTCCTACACTTGGTGGCTTGAAACTCACGCAGGCACATGTGCGTGCATGCCCAGGATCCCAAGAGGAGAATGAAGGAGAAGGGATTGCAGTGTGGCCATCCTCCCTAGGCATGATTTCTCACTTTCCTCTGTCTCTCTGTCTCTGGTGAGCACAAGAGCCCCATGGCAAGGATTTCTTTTTAAAAAAAAATGCTGCTACATGTGCTTTGCTCTTATGTAATTTAATATAAAACAGAATAGTTATGAGTACTGGCAAAGCATATATACATACTAACATTTACTATTAATATCCCTATTTCCACTTATAGAATCTGTTTTAAATTTTTCAGCATGGTGTTAAATGTGGCACTTCTTTGTCTTCAGCAAAAAAGAAAAAATATAAAACCTAATTGCTCAACTTTCTGATTAAGCAGAAGAAAAGTCTGTTAGCACTTTCACAACTAAATACACTCTGGAGTCAATGATTCTGAGATCTTTTCTATAATATACTCTCTTACAAGTCTTAAACCTATGCAGGACAAAAGACACCTGTATCAATATGTATTCTAGATCTCTATGAAACCAGATTCCTTTTCAAGCTGATTGAGTCACTTCCTAGTTAAAGATGCTCCTTTAGATCTGACACTACTGCAAGAAGCCAGTACTCAGGACTGGAGAGCACAGGGATCCACACAGGTGGGCTGTGTGACTAACACGAGCAACCTGGCAGCACATTTCCCAACATGTTCCCCACCTTTCGGCTTCCAAATTTTTGTATCTACACATTTTGAAAGTATGGCAAAAATCTAAATTTCAAAACAGTATAGGGGCTTTTTATAGACCTTAGGAGAGCGCCTACACTAACAATATCCTATTACCCATTGAATCACTTTAATAAGATCCTCCTAAGTCTTTTTCACAGAACTGAATTTTCATCACTTATGTCGTTATTCTGGCCCTCAGAAGGCCTTTGTGAAACCTAAAATGGCATTCACGAGAATAATATAAAGGAACTAGGTTAGAGTTCTCTTTTAAAGCAAAGAACAGGAATGCATTTATACTGTGTGCTTATGATAAATAAGGAACCTTCGCTAGGTAAAACAAAGTACAGGTGTGCCTCAGAAAGCCCCACAAAACTTATTAGAAAATGTTGTGTTTAAAAATCAGTCTTAATCAGTTATATTAGAGAACAGTAATTTCTTGACTTTCATTTGGCAATTTGCAAAATCATCAAATGACATTTGATGCAATATGTACTTTTTAATCCTCAAATACATTTAGTTTTCTTTTAAGATTTGGAGGACCTATTTTTAACTCTTTTTTTAAAGAATTATTTTATTTAACTTTATTTACTTATTTATTTTAATTTTGACCAGAGAGGTACAGAGCAAAAGAAAGCGAGGAAAAAAGTCACCAGGTCTGAGATTCAAACCATGGTCAGCCATGTGGGATTCCAGTGCCCTTAACCACCACGCCACTTGCCGGCCCCTAGAGGACCTATTTTTAAATTATTTTCACTAGTTCTCTACCAATGTTTCTGATTTTGGTGCCCAAACTCTTTTTCTTCTTCTTGACTTAATCATTCAATTTGAGAGAGGGATTAAGTACGTTTTTTAAATCTCTTTTCTACAAAATATACAAGGTAGTACTGAATATTAAGAAAAATCTAGATTTAAATGAAACACATAAATGTACTAAAAATATGAATCTAAACTGACAAGTCAGCTGAATACATTATTGATTTACTGGCTCCAAAATCATGGATTAAACAAAAGAAATGATATTTGCATTGATGTGTGAATCTGCATCCATTCTTGGTACCATGTAATATATGCAACTGCTCAGCCCTAGCTGTCCTTGTATCTACATTATCATATCATCCAAATGTATCTATCATTTATATGTAAATAGACAAGATGAATGGCTTCTTCCAAAGACAATTTTCAAATGACAAACAGACACAGGCAGACATTAGCAAGATAAAAATCTTGCAAATATTCGTTCTTTTATATTTTTTAAGAAGATGGAAACTATTTCAAAAAAAATTTTTAAAGTACTGTGGTAATTACAAAATGGAGTCTTAATACATTCACAATACCAACAGTTATTCTTCTCAATAAAAGTCTGCACCGATGTCATTTGTATCTTATAAATTACATGTTCTCAGATCCATCTGTGAAAATTGGGATGCTAATTATCATGGTTATATTTCATGATTCCACAGTTAAATGCTGAAGTAGTGCTACACAAATACCATATGTTTTTCTAAGGGAAATGGAGAAAGATTAATTATGAGTTCAAGTCCCAGTCTTCTAGCAGTGATGCTCTCAACACAATAAGATCATTACATTGTGTGCTATGCAAATTGGAAGTTTTAATTAATAGCTGAAATATCAACTGAAGGGGAAAACTCTGAAGCCTAAATTGTACGATTCAGCCTTTCCTCCACAATAAAGCATCTTAATAAGGATGTTATTGAGAAACCAAGTTACAAGTCCAAAGAAAAAACATTTTTATTTTCTATGAACTTAATGGTGATCACCAACATGCTGGTTAATCCAATTTCATAAACCTAAAATTACAGTGTGTCTTAGTCACAAATAGACTATAAATAGAGAACAGATCTGATTAAGATTTAACTTAACATTTTTCTGGATTTTTCTATTGAGATTCAAAACTCTCTTATCGGGCCACTACTTATGCAAAATTTCAAATATCATTTATTTAGATAAATTACTTGCTTCAGTGTAGCAGACTAAAAACAAAACTCTACAGTAATACTGTAAGAATTCCATTCATACTTGTAAAGTGTGAATTTTTATTTTACTTACCACGTATTCAAATACAAGCGTCAGGGTCTCCTTGGTATGGATGATGTCATGAAGCAGCACTATGTTAGCATGTTTTAGTCCTTTTAACAGAGAAGCTATAAAATAAAGTGAACAGAAAGAAAAAAGGTCATGAGTAACAATCAATTAATAGTACGTTTCATTATTATTCTAGTATGTTGTCAGACGAAAGATAGCTATTTTCCCATGATCCAAGTCAATAATAATATAGAATCAAGAGTGGAGGAAAGAGGTTTTCATTTAGATGAAACTTCTCCCAATTATCTCACCTGTCTTTGACATTAGTCTCCAGTTAGGTTCCATTATGGTCAGAGAACATACATGGTATTATTTCAATTCCTTTAAAATGTTAAAGTTTATTACCTAGGATATAGTAGATCTTGGTATGTGTTGTATATGTATGGAATATATATTCAATTGGTAGAAAACTCTACAAATGTAATTAAATCCCATTTTAGTGGAGTCATTCTATATCCCTCCTAATTTTCTAAATAGTGGTTTCATCAATTATTGAAAGAGTGGTTTTATCAATTACCAAATTACCAATTATGATTTTGGACTTTTAAACATCTCATTTGAGTTCCTCTTGGTTTTTGTTTGTTTTTGTTTATTTGTTTGTTTTTTACTTTTTATATTTGGAAGCTCTGTTGTTAGTGCATACACATTAAGGATTACTATGTCTTCTTTGGGAATTGACCTTTTATCATTATTCAGTGTCTCTCTCTCTTTGTACCTGGTAATTTTCTTTGCTCTGAAATCTACTTTGTCTAATATTGGCATATCTATCCCACCTGTCTTTTGACTAGTGTTTACATAATACATCTTTCTCATATTTTTTCTTTTATCTTACCAATAAAAGATAAAAGTTCACTAAAGTTTAAGTATGCTTCTAATGGCATGTATTAGGTCATTGGGAAAGTCATGATGCATTTTTTGCATAGAAAAATATGTCATGACTTTGTGGATGACCTAATAGTTGAGTCATGTGTTTTTAAAATCTATTCTGTCAATTTCTGACTTTTAATTATGGGTTTAGACAATTTAAAGTATATATTAATATGTTGGGTCACCTGTCATTTGAATCTGTTTTTGACAGATTCAAATCTTAGACACCTTGCTATTTAATCTCCATTTATGATTCGATTTTTGTCTTTTCTTCTATACTTCCCAGGAGTTCAATTAACTCTAATTTCATTTTATTTATTTCTGTTATTCTTAGCTTTTATATTTCCAATTCAAGGTTTTCATTGTTGTTATGTCATATACACAAAGCCAGAATGAGAATATTAATTCACATTCAGTTTTGCTCACACTTAGAAAATTAAAGTTTTCTTGAATTTCATGGTTTTTTAAAGAGTATTTATCAATCAAAATGCAATGATTCAGAGTTTCTCATTTTTTTATTGTAGTCTTGCACAGAGTGGGCTACTTTGTTCTATTCCTATTCATTTAATTGGGCTGAGTTCCCAGTTAAGAGTGCTCTCTTCTGTCAGTTTTGCCATCTTCTACATAGTTTATACAAATGGTGCAGGGAAGAAAATGAGAGAGGGTTTGGAGTGTTTTGTTTCTTTTTTGTTTCCACAAGATCTTCGATTTCTCTTTCCTTTCTTCTTTAATTTCATGATCATATCTTAAAGAGGTATCACCCTTTCTCTATATATCTGAATCTCCCCAAAAGTAATGTTTTCTAGCACTTCCAGAACTGGTCCCATGCACTTTCAGCCTCCTGTCCTGTAGCGACCACTGTGAACTACATTCAAGTCCCAGCTTTATCTTTCCAAAGTGACTGTTTTGACTAAGTCCACAGCTTCTTTTTTTTTTTTAATATTCTTTTATTTTAGAGGGTTTTGCTATAGGGCGCGTGCGCTCACCAGACAGGGCACCTTCTAAATCAAGGCTTGATACATAGTGGGAACTCAGTAACTTTACTGAATGTAATTCATTTAGGTTCCCCAGGGGTGGTATGGCTATTTCACCAGGCAGCTCTCCCTTAAATTTGCCCTTTCTTTTACTCTGAAATCAGCACCAACCCCAAATTTCAAGTTGATAGTACTAAGTTTCTACAGGGACCCCTGGATATTTTCAAAACTCAAAGAACACCTATTAATGTTAGCAATTTCAGGACCTGGGAAAGGAACATCTATGAGTGCTTCTTAAATCTCATTCCCTCTTCCATATGACTTTGAATTTTTAAAAAGGAATAAACTAATCCTACATCCACAATCAGATTTGTTCAGACACTGCTCACACCAAAAAGAAAGAGACAGAAAGAAATCAAGTTGTTTAAGATTTCAATCCTCATAAATAATATCACAAAGCATATAAATGGCATTTATTTTTCTCCTTTTGGATTATCTCCTGATAATGAATTGTGAAAAATAGTACTATAGGGTTAAAAGCCATAAACATATAGCCAAGACATTCTTTATTAAATTAGGTAGTGGATTCAGTCTTCTATCTTTCTAACTCCACATAAGAAGAAAAGAACTATAAAAGATGGAAAAATACTTTACAATACAAAGTAATCCATCCAAATCGAAAACCAAAACCTCATTAAATTATTATATGAACACGCAAATATTATTTAAGAATAAACTCATCTTCATCCCTCAGTAAGAACAAAAAAGAATCATATTTCCTATAGGAGTGACCAGGAGAGAAGTTTTCTCTATCATTATTTTAGGAACACTATAGATTCAATGTCTGTCATTGTGAAGAATCTATATAACCTTACCAAACATAAATAAATAAGAGAGAGAGAGAAAGAAAAATATTTTGCATGTATCCTATCTACACCTTGTGATAATTCACTTATTCATCATTTATTCAGAATCTAGTTGCATGCACTTGGGACCCATAGCATATCTTCATCCCTTAACAAATACTCGGTAATGTTCCAAGATCACATTCTTAAAAAGAGATTTACAACACCAAGCATGAGTTCTAATGTAAATTACAAACTTTGGGTGATAAGATGTCTCAATACAAGTTCACTGATGGTTACAGATACACTACTCTGGTGAAGAAGGCTGATAGTCGGGAAGACTATGCAAGTGTGGAGGCAGGGATTATATGAGCATTCTGTTCTTTCCACTCAATTTTGCTGTGAACCTAAAACTGTTCTAAAATAAATTCTATTTTTTAAAAAAGCATTGAAAGAAAAGGCAAATCTAGATATTTTAGAACTTCACTCTAATAAAGTGGTATTTTAGATATAGAATCACCATGTAAAACAGACTTGCACTGGACAGTGACCAGAGAAGGCAAAGATCAAGCATGCAGACAGTTAGTTTTTTCTTATGACCTCAAGGAATGTAAGTTCTTTTTATTAAAGTTATTGCTATTGCTATGAATTTCCTTGCCTTCCCTCGGCAAACCTGTTTTAGGACGATACCTTTGATATACGTTTATAAATATATAATTGGTCTAAAGGCAGGCTTTCAAAGGTCAGCTCCAAGGTCTGGTGGTTAAGGGAGCAGGATTCTATCTGGCCAACTGTGAGGTCTGAATCCCTGCTTTGGAGGTTTGAGAAAAATGTCAGGCATGTATGTGTGCCTACCAAATTCCAAATGAGATGGAGAAATGGAAGAGCAGGGATTCCAGCTTAACTACACTCCCTGGGGATTGCTTCCTCCCTCTCCCTCTATGTCATTTTGTCTCTGGGGCAAATTCACATGCCTTCTGGCAACTGAAAAGAAAAACAGGTCCATTCAGACTGACAACTGACTGGGGTGGCTGGCTCCAACACTAGAAGACAGAAGTGTTTTCCCTCTGAAACTGAATCAGCAGCAGCCATGTATGTTACAAGGCTAGAGAAGTATAAGCTAACTGTCATGGGGAGGCCTTCTGTTTTACCCTGTATGTCTACAAAGGGCAAGTTAGCTTTGCATGCTAGAAATTTGACAGTAAAAATACCCATGTATTGGGACCAGCAGTGGGCGTAATGGCTATATCGCTGGACTCCCACGTAGTCGACTGCAGTTCGCGTCCTGGACCCGGTAGCTTAAAACTCACGCCAGGCGCGTGTGCATGCGTGCCCAAGATCCCGAGAGGAGAACGGAGGAGAAGGGATTGCGGCCTGACCATCCCCCCTGGGGGGTGATTTCTCACTTTCTGTCTCTCTGTCTCTCTCTGTCTGTCTGGTGAGTGCACACGCCCTATAGCAAAAGCCTAAAATATTAATATTTGTTTTAAAATTTCTTTTTCATTTTTTTATTATTATTTTAAGTTTGCTATAGGGTATGTGTGCTCACCAGAGAGAGACAGAGAGAGAGGGAAAATGAGAAAGCAAGCCACAGGTTTGGGACTTGCACTGTGGTTAGCCATGTGGGAGTCTAGCCTCTTAATCACCATGCCACCTGCTGGTCCCAAAATATTAATATTCTACTATCCTAACTTTTTTCCCCTAAATATAATTATTTATAATGATATATTTATTTAATTCCATTTGTTTAATTTGACCAGAGAGAGAGACAAAGGGAAAGGAAGGAAGCAAGCCGCCAGGTCAGGCACTTGAACCGCAGTCAGCCATGTGGGAATCCAGTGCCTTTAACCACCACACCACCTGCTGTTTATCCAACTGTTGGGCACCTCCTACATGCCAGGCACCAGGCTAAGCACTAGGGCACAAAATGAGTAAGACACTAACTCTGCCCTCAAAGAGGTCAGGGGACTGTGGAGACCGTTGTGTGAATAAGTGAAGGTAATACAAAGTGAGGGTGCTTAGAGACCTAGGCAAGGTGTGCTGGGAACAGAGATGGGCGGACCTGACCTCCTGGGGAAGTGGGGAACAGGGACAGCAGAGGGCCTCACCCAGGTGCTGTGAGTTTGGTATCTGAAATCACCATGTAAAACAGACTTGCACTGGACAGTGACCAGAGAAGGCAAAGATCAAGCATGCAGACAGTTAGTTTTTTCTTATGACCTCAAGGAATGTAAGTTCTTTTTATTAAAGTTATTGCTATTGCTATGAATTTCCTTGCCTTCCCTCGGCAAACCTGTTTTAGGACGATACCTTTGATATACGTTTATAAATATATAATTGGTCTAAAGGCAGGCTTTCAAAGGTCAGCTCCAA